ACAGCACTTAGGAGACTGAATGCGTTAGTGGCTTTGTTATCTTTCCTCCATCCCAGACTGTGATCTTCTTGAGAGCTGAAATGTCAGTTTTCTCTCTCCACCCTTGGTTCCTAGGCCAGAGCAGATGATAAATAAATATTTGCTTAATGAATAAATAAACTCTTGCAGAGACACAGTTTTATGAAGCTGATTACATAAACTAATTCCCTATGTGAAAGAATATGTGTACCCTATGAGTAAAATGGTATAGTTGAGCTTATGATAGAATCATTTCTCTCCTTCCACTCCTCCCTGCTCCTAACTTTATTCCCACTGATGTTTTTTATTTCAGTGGCCACGCCCCTGACTTCTAGAGTTGTGTCTTTAAAACTGCACACATCCTGGAAGGTGCATAAGATGCTTCACTTGGGTACCAGAATACATTATTTGAAATTGCATTTTTTAATATATTTTTTGGGAAGTATGTTAATTCTATTTTTTTTTTTTAAGTTCCCTGAATATTTCCTGGAGGAAGGTGAAGTTCTAAATTTGGGGGTTGAGGTGGCAGGGTAGAGAAGTGAGTTAGAAGGATGGTCAAATCTTTGGTTCTTTTTTGTATGCTGCTTTTTGTTTGTTTTGTTTTGTTCTGAGTCGGAGTCTCACTCTGTCGCCCAGGCTGGAATGCAGTGGCACGATCATGGCCACCACAGCCTCGGTCTGCTGGGCTCAGATGATCCTTCCTCCTCGGCCTTCTAAATAGCTGAAATCACAGGCGCGTGACACCACTCCTGGTTAATTTTTCTGACTTATTGTAGAGATGAGGTCTCACTAAGTTGCCCAGGCTTGTCTGAAATGCCTGAGCTCAGGCAATCCTCTTGCCTCCACCTCCCAAAGTGCTAGGATTACAGGAATGAGCCACTGTGCCCGGTTGTATACTACTTTTTTGAAAAATAAAATTACCTTTTAAAGAAGTTTTTAAAGATTACCTTTAATTGACATATAATAATTGTACATATTTGTGGGGTACGGTATGATATTTTGGCGCGTGTATGCAATGTGTAATAATCAAATCGGGGTAATTAGCATACCTGCCACCCCAAACATTTATCATTTCTTTGTACTGGGAATATTCAAAATCCTCTCTTCTGGCTATTTCAAAATATACAATAAACTATCATTAGCTATGGTCACCCTAAAGTGCCAGAGAACACTAAAACATATCCCTCCCAGCTAGCTGTACTCTGGAGGGGTCTGCTAGTCAGCCTCTACCTATCCCTTCCCCATTACCCTCCTCAGCCTCTGGTAACCACTATTCTACTCTCTACTCTTGCGAGATCTGCTTTTTTAGCTTCCACATATGAGTGAGGTCTTGTGGTACTTATCTTCCTGTGCCTGGCTATTTCACTTAACGCAATGTCCTCCAAGCTTATCCATGGTGCCACAAATGACAGGATTTCATTCTTTTTTATGGCTGAATAGTATTCTATTATGTATATATACTACATTTTCTTTATCCATTCATCTGTTAATGGACATTTTCAGGCTGATTCCATGTCTCTGCTATTGTGAACAGTGCTGCAATAAACATGGGAGTGCAGATAACTCTGACATACTAACTTCATTTCCTTTGGATATACACCCAGTAGTGGGACTGCTGGATCATATGGTAGCTGTATTTGTAATTTTCTGAGGAACCTCCATACTGTTTTCCATAATGACTGTACTAATTTACGTTCCCACCAGCAGTGTATGAGTTCCCTTTTTTCTGCATCTCTGCTAGCATATGGTACTTTCTTTTGTCTTTTTTATAATAGCTTTTTAACTTGGGTGAGATGATCTCTCATTGTGGTCTTGATTTGCATTTCCCTGATTAACGATGTCAGGCATTTTTTCTTATACCTGTTGGCCATTTGTATGTCTTCCTTTGAGGAATGTCTATTCAGATCATTTGCCTATCTTATATACTTTTAAAATATCTTACAATGTCTATTTTTGTGAGAATAATTGATGATTTTCTGTATTTTGGTTTACTATTATGATACACATTCTCCTTGAAAAGCCAATTCAAAATTATTCTTACATACTTTTAGCTTCTATTTTTGTATAAGATACAATATACACATAATATATTAGTATAGGTATAAATGTATATAGAATATAAATAAGTAAATAAGCTTATGTTAGGAATTTGTGCTTAGAACTATTTTTCTGAGAGGATTGTACATCAAAAAAATTTGGAGACCACCACTCTAAATAATAGACTTTTACCTCTATTTCTTGATTTATCAAGTGTAGAGAATATTTACTGACTTGACAGCTTACAAAGAAATGAATATTTAGCTTTCTTACACTGCAATAATCTCATTATGAGGAGATTTCATTGTATGACAGTTGTAGTTCTAATTTTACTTCTGTTGCTTAACTTGATAACTTTAGAAATAACAGTTTTATTTCTTTGTTTCTTTATTTCAATAACTTTAGGGGGTACAGATAGCTTTTGGTTACATGGATGCATTGTATAGTGGCAAAGAAGTCTGGGCTTTAAGTGTACCCACCACCACCACCTGTACACATTATACCTGATAGATGATTTTTCATCCCTCTTCTCCTTCCCATCCTCCCCCTTCTAAGTCTCCAATGTCCATTATATCATTTTCTATACCTTTGCAGATCCTTAGTTTAGCTCCCACTTTTTTGTTTGTTTGTTTGTTTTGAGTCAGAATCTCACTTTGTTGCCCAGGCACCCAGACACGCTCCTGGCCACCGCAGCCTCGACCTGCTGGGCTCAGGCGATCCTTCAACCCCAGCCTTCCGAGTAGCTGGAACTACAGATGCACGCCACCATGCCCGGCTAGTTTTTTTGATTTTTTTTTTTGTAGAGACAAGGTCTCACCAAGTTGCCCAGGCTGGTCTCAAACCCTCGGGCTCAAGCAATCCTTTCGCCTCACCTCCCAAAGTGCTAGGATTACAGGCTGAGCCACCGCGCTTGACCTAGCTCCCACTTACAAGTGAGAACATGAGGTATTTGATTTTCTGTTTCTACGTTAATTCACTTAGGATGCTGTTCTCCAATTCCATCCAAATTGCCGCAAATGGCATTATTTCATTTTTTTTAACAGCTGAACAGTGTGTATATATGCATTTTCCATGGTGTGTATATATGTATTTTCATTATCCACTGATCAGTTGATGGGCATTTGGGTTGACTCCACATTTTTGCAATTGGGAATTGTGCTGCAATGAACGAGTGAACGCAGGTGTCTTTTTTTGTATAACGACCTCAGACATAACAACTCTGCATCTTATTTCATCTACTTTTGACAGTCTTTCTTGACTTTCTCCTTTCTAAGAAGGAGCATTAGAATATGTGTTCCTTTTTCTACCTCTTTTTCCCTCTCTTCTATTTCCCACTTTCCCTCACATACTCTTTTATGTTGTCAAAGTTGAAAGCATTTATATTTTTTCCTATTATACAGTCAAGTCTTCATATAAATTGAATCTAAAAGATGAAAACTATAAATAGTATTGTATTTTGTTTTGCATTATTATGACTTATTAATTCTTCCCTAAAAGAAAATCTTCTTTATGCACCTGAGACCCATGGACTCAGGTTTTAGTTTTGATTTTAGTTATTTTCCCTTTGTCATGGGAAACAAATAGAATTAACAGACCTCAACAATTGCTCCTTGTTATTTAGCACATTCTGCAAGGATTTGTACATTCTCAGAAGTGCGACCGTATTCTGACAATAGGGAAAAATAACAAACAAGTGACATTTGTAAATTCCCTATAAAAAGTCCCTTGTACTTAGAAATCATGCTTCCTTTTAGATGTTTCTGTTAAATAATAATTATTTAAAACCGAGCCTTTGAGATCCCTAATGAAGTAACAGATGTGATTTGAAATCAACATGGGCCACAGATTCTCCTCTGAGCAGTCAATATATACTAACTGTATTTTGGAAGAGTTACCTGGTTTTATCAGCTGCAGGAAGTGGACATTTCCTCTGTCATCTGTCCCCCAAATTCAAGTGAACTGAGCTAGTTCTGAAGTGCTAGATGATTCAAAAAATGAAAATTGCTCTCACTTTGAGGGAGAGCATTGTAGGTAGGGACTGGGTATCTTATGGTGCTGTGTTTATAGAAATTAGAAGGAGAGTGAAACTCTTTGACCAGTCTTTCTCTTAGGGTCCTGACATGTAAGTCTTGAGACTAAACATAACAAAGTTAGTACTTGCCTAGGATGAAGGATATTTCTAATTTTAGTACCTACTAAAATATGATTTTATACATATTACTTAGTGCAGAGTCAACTTGGCTGTTAAGATTACATTTCTTCCCACCAGGGTCAAGGTAATGACCCTGGGCTCTTAAGAGTTCAACAGTAGCCAGGCTCGGTGGCTCAGCCTGTAATCCCGCCCCTTTGGGTGGCTGAGGTGAGTGGATTGCCTGAGCTCGCGCGGGTTCGAGACCCGCCTGGGAAGCGAGACCTCATCTCTACAATAAATCAGAAAATCAGCCGGGCGTGGTAGCG